GGGAGCAAGAAATCTTTTGGCATAAATAAAAGTTCTCAACTAAAATATTGGAAAAATATTCCTTGTGACCATTATAGTCCCATTATTCCCAAGCAATGTCAACAAAAAGTAAAAAGAATAGACTATTTTGTCCCTCTCTCATACTTTCTCATTCTTATTCCCTCTCCTCTCTCTTGTTTTGTTTTTGTTGGGAAAATATCTCTTTACCCTTTCCTATTAGACCTATAAATTTTAAAACTTCCTAGCGTAAAATTTTCAAAAATATATCTTTTAACCCCTTAAATCGAGTTGACTCTCTTTTGTCAGATTTTTTTTGTCCCAAACAATATAAAAAAAGACTCTCTTTCTCTCTGTTTTGTTACCGCTTTTTTTTTTCTCCCTCTATCTCCTCTCTCTCTCATTGTCCTTATGTTTTTCCCCTAAAGTTTTCTTGCTCTCGCCTCTCTCCCCTAAACATCTCTTTCTTTCTCTCTTTTCCCCAAACCCTCCCCTCTCTCTCTTCCCCTAACCCTCTCCCTCTCTCACCTCTCTCCCCCAAACCCTCTTTTTCTCTCACCTCTCTCCACGAGCCTCTCTCACTATCACTCTCCCACCTATCTCCCCCAAAACCTCTTTCTCTCTCTCTTCCCTCTCTCCCCCAAACCCTCTTTCTCTCTCTCGGCTCTCTCCCCCAAATCATAAGAGAAATGCCTCTCTTGCTGGCTCCTCGTTGCTTTAAACTGTACAGATCTCATATTATGATCCATCTCTGCAAGCATGCTTTCAAGGTTCTAATCCATGCATGGTGCCTCAAGCAAATGGCTTGCAACTTAGGTGCAATCAATTGGCTTTCTCTTTCTCATCATACCCATCTTTTTCTCTCACACACACCCTCTCTCTCATATCACTTCACTAATTTTCTCTCTCTTCGTCCCAAAACTCTTCTACATCTACTTTGTTGGATATTGGTGATATCCAAAAATCACCAATATAAAAAAAGCCCATATTGTGTGGAATTACAATTGATATTAATGAGTTTCTTAAAAAAATTAGAAATCTAAAACAATTAGGATTGTGGGATATATCTCTTGGTTTTGAGATATATATAATATCTATAAGAAGTTTTTTATTTAGTATGGAATCATAATTTTATATATATATATATATGGGATGAACGATGAAAAGCTATGTATGCCCTATATGGGTCACCATATAGGAAATGTAGTTTCCTTCACAGGGAGAGGCAGGGGCCTCATGAGAGGCAAAGTCTCTCTTTTCTCTAATTTTCTCTTTTAAATAAAAGAGAGCTCCATGTAGAGAGAAACACCGTTAATGCGCCTCATGTAGATTGAAATGCTGGTTTCTTATAGAGAAACGGTTCTCATGAAGATTTTGGGTAGTTTCTTTTTTCAGTGAGAAAAAGTCTCGATTTCTCTTAAGGTTCGCCTTCTAGACAGTGAACTGTAGAATAGAGATGGTCTCTTTCTGGACAGTGGTTTAGCTGTGGAATAGAGATGAGAGATCGGCGGGTGCCAGTCAAGACAGTGGGTCTAAAAGGGTTTGCTCGACTGGATTTTGTCGCGGGTTAGAGAGGTAACTATGTGTCCTAAAATCTATGATGTTGGTGTAATGAATTTCAGTTTGTTGTGCCTGTGGATGTAGCCCTCTTGGGGTGAGCCACGTAAATATTTATATTTTTATGGTGTATGTTTTATGTTTTATTTATCGTATTATGGCTCGTGCTCTCTTTTAGTTTGTTTATAGCTGGATAATTACATAAACTTGGTAGGATCCAACTTTTGAGATTCCTGTATTTGCATCTAAGGGTTCTTAAATCCTAACATGCTTTTGGCCTTGGCCTTTTTATGCATTGGTAACGGAGGTGCCACTCGTTATGAGCATTTTGGTGACACTGTTCGTCATAATTAGGATGGTTGGTGATGGTGCCTTTAGAGGGATGAGAGGAGAAGCGAAGGTTAAGTTTTGATTAGGGTGATTAAGATACATTTTGACAGTTGGTGCAATTTCATGGCAATGTTGGTTTATGCCCACTAGTGGCCTCATATTTTTCACTGTTTTTTTTTTTTTTTGACAAATATATTTTTCATTGTTTTCATGCGTGGGAAATGCATAAGTGCTTGGCTAAAGGAGCTGTAAGAGAGAGGGAGAGGGAGAGGGAAAGGGAGAGGGAGAGGATTTGGGGAAGAGAGGTGAGAGAAAGATAGAGAGAGGTTTAGGGGAGAGAAGCTAGAGTAAAAGTGAGTAAGAGGTATAGGGGAGAAGCAAAGGGACTAGAGAGAGAGAGGGAGGGAGAAAAAGAGGCGGTAACAAACGGAGAAAGAGAGCCATTGTTTTTATTTTGTTTGGGATCAAAAAGTGTGACAAAAGAGGGTCAACTAGGTTAAGTAAATTATGGGATATCTTTTGTGAAAATTTTATGCTATTAGAAAATTTTAAATTTGTGGGTCCAATGGGAAATAGTATACCAAATTAGGGTCTATAGATATATTTTTAGAATATTTTGTTCGTACTCTCTTCTTCTTCCCCATATCTTCTCTTATTCTCACTTTTACCAACCAGGCTCCCCATAAATCTTGGCTTTTCAAAGTTTTTCTTCTAAGCTTTGATTCTATACTGAATAATGTTGTCAATTAAGGACCTAGTTTCTATGCCGCCAAGCCTGTTTTTTCTTGACTGCATATGTAGAAATGCGGTCTAACCAGTATGAAACAATTTTCCATCAATTAATCACTTTTTCCCCAATGTTACATTGCTACCGAAAAGAATTCTCTTTTTGGTATATTAGTGGGGATTACAAGTCCCTATCCATTTTGAAAAGAGTCAATTTTTTGGAAGTGTTAGTGAGAATGGAAGCCTTGACTTTTAAATAACGTTCAGGTAGTACTACACTACGACCCCAACCTAAAATAAATGAGCAACTTTCTATCTGAAACTATAAACCAAATAAATCCTAAACTTTGAGAAAATCACCACTTCCTTGGAGGTCATGCTTCTACAAGAGTTCATTCTTCGCTCTCGAACTACCTCTCACTAGAAGCCAATCAATTCCATAATCACTAATAGGATAACACTAAAAGGGGTGATGTTACATTTATTTGATCCCCAGATCACCAGGGCTTTCTTCTTGATTGCGTAAAGACCTTATATCCAATTTTCTACAAAACAAAGGTGATTTTGACTATCACCTAATCTAATAAGAGATGTAATAGATGCCAATGGTCTGGAAAGGGGAAGCAGAAGGGAGAGAGTGAGACAGAGAACCATGGGAATCAGGAAAACCCCCCTACAATTGGGAGAAAAAGTTTATATAAAGCTGAGGCTCTAAACAATCAAATTAGAGTGTATCTCAAAAATTTAACTAGTAGTGATTGTTTTGATGCTCAAATATCCTCAAATTGATCATCTCGACATTAAGATCCATAAACATAAGAAAAAATGGATTTCAAGTTTTGGAAATAGTGCATCCTTTAATACATTATCGAACTGTCAATTTTCAATAGTTCCAAGCTTTCATAGATCTACTCGATCTACAGTATTATTGAAGCTTTAAATTTTATAATTAGATATGAAAATATATTTTAAGACTATCACAAAGATTTTCAGTATTGAAACCACATTTCTCGATGCTATTTGAAGGTGTGCTCTACTTTAATTGTTTAGAGCCTCGGCTGTATATAAACTGCACCCAAAGAAACATTAGGGAGGTGAGAAAACTTTTGAAAAGCTATGGAGTGTTTTTGGTGCCAAATTTTCAGGCAACTTCGGTTATGTTAACAACATATTCTCTCGGGAAAATATTATTAACATGGTGAAAACCACTTCAAAAACTCATTGAAATAGTCAAAGCATTTTATTGACAAAGCAATTACTTTGAGACAATTATTTCACTCATGTATTTTATTAGGAAATATCCAAAACCCACAGTATCGCTTTGAAATCCTAGACAAACCTATGACACCAGTTATGCAAAACGACAGGGGTTCTATGCGGGCAGAAATGCGACCTTGGCGATAAATATGTTTTTTAAATATAATTTGATAGTAATTTTTAGAGAATATATAACTTTTAACATGGAGATCATGAATATGAAAAAAAAAAAGAAGAAGATGAAACCAGAAATAATATTTATATTAAAAAACAATTTAGACGGTTAGTTACACTTGTTTTTAGATGGATCACCTATTTGCATTCATCGTTAAGTTGGATGCTTTATACCTCTAGACCGCATATTGCAAAAATACGATCTAACCCACATGAAGCAATTTTCCTATGCAAAATTTCCATGCTTGTTCTATGTTTTACACCTAGAATATATGCCCTTTTTGTTAAAATCTCTTATTTGGGATTTGAAATATAAAACAATCAGTTCTCTTTCATTATTTATCTTGGGCTACTTGATCAAATGATGTAAATATCACTGCTTGTTATGAGTTCCATACTTGAAAGTCGAAACAATATATTTCAATGGGAAAAGCAAAGGTATTTATGTAAGGATGAGGTTTGTGTATGGGTATTTATGTGAGGATGAGGTTTGCTTTTCAATGGGAAAAGCATGGCTCGTCTCTAAAAAGTTTGCAAATTCATGTTCAACTCTAATTATGAAATTCAAAATTTCAAAAACAGTGCATGTGGAGTGTTATTTCTGAAAGTAATTTTTCTTGCAAGCTGATATACTAGCCTTGACAACGTTACATAAAAACAACTGGAATATTAGAGAAGGGATACTTGGTCATAACCGTCGTCGTAAAAGTCTTTTTATTGATTTCTTTTTTGTGTTCATTGTAACTTATTTTTCAATGCTCGCTGAACTACAAGTAGAACTGTACTAGTAATCTATATTTCCTCTTCAAGTTCAGCAAAAGCCTGCCATCCCAAAAATTGAGACAACTTTCTCACCAATTTAAAAATGCATGCCAACATGTGTGTATGTGTGTGCGTGTGCGTGTGCGCACACACATACAGAGAGAGACCAATTTACACCAGAATAGATGCACAGAAATCAGAAATCACCGATGGAATTAAGAATAATCACATGCAGAGTTTGTGCACAACAAGATCTACTTGATGCCCATTCATTAAACAAAAATACAAACAATATGGCCTTGCAATGAAATTCAATCATATCAACAATGTGGTGTCACAGTCAACAACTATTTCACAATGCAAATCATATAACACAATCGGAGACCACACAAAACGAATCCATGAAAGTGTTTCTTCTCTTTGATAATTAGGAAACAATTGCAAGCTATAAACCCTCACTCAAATTGAAACATCACAAGAAGCTTCACATGCCTGTACGGATCTCCTCTTTTGTCATACAAAGGTACTGCTCTGATACCCGATTTCAGCTCCCATACAGGCAAGCAAGTCTGGCCTGCAAAGTCATCTTTTTGTAAAGTATCAGACTCATGCACCTCAATTCGAAGCAAAGCCACCTCAGGAACAGTCAAGGGGAATGTGAACTCTTTATTCCAAGCTGGTGTCCAGCAATCATTGATTGTCTCTGTACTTTGCGAGCTTGTCGAATCAGCTTGTACTCCTTTAACAGCCACCTGTTATATTCAACACAAAGGACATGTTCATGAAAACAGGTTGGTTGAGCGGAAACTGGATCTGATTGACACTCAATTAAATGAACCTCAATCCTGCAACCCACCCAACCAAAAAAAAGCCAACAATTCCTAAAACAAGGAAAATATGCAAAAATAACAAAATGGATTAATAAACATATGTATTAAAACATACTTAATTTTGTTAGATGTTACTATCAATTACAATTCAATATTGTACAAGACATTGAACGATTTGATTATTTAAATAATATGAAAATTGAAATGCTAATCTGGATTTAGGATTTCTTTTGCAATTATATTATTCCTAATTCCACATGTTCAGTAAAGAATTACTACAGCATGTGCATATTGAAAAGTCACATATGCATGTGTGATGTAAAGTAGAACTATTTGAGAGCTACAAAATGGTGTGGAAAATAGGCAGATTCTTGTTGAGAGAGTAGGAAACAAATAATTTGAAAATCTATTTGACAAGCACAGTTTGTTGAAAATTATGGCAATAAGTATAGTAAGTACTTAAACCCAAAAATATAACTTGGTAAAATTCGAGTAGGGCTCATTCTTTTTGGCTCTGACTCTGTGCTTAAATCAATTTATAATTTTTATTAATGTTTTGTAAGGGTGCAGTTTTCATAGGGCATTGGCTATACGAAATTTGGCAAAGCCAAACCTAAAAACCCCGCTGGAAAATGCATTTCCCATGCCATAAATGGTGAAGGCGTAGAAATCCATTTTCATCCCCAACTGTAGTTTTCAAGCTCCATAAATGGTGCAGATCACAGATCTCTGAAGACTTGAAATCCTCTTTATTAAAATATTAAAATCCATGGTCGTTCAGGTAGAGATAATTCATTTGCATGTTTCCTGGCATTTTCTGGCAAGATTAGAGGCGTGGCATTATAGAGCCATGGCCCTATGATATATTTTCTCTTTTCAAAAAAGCATTTATGCGGAAATGATCCATCTACATGTTTCCCGGCACTGGAACTGCATTTCCTGGAGAGATTACAGGTGCAACTTTATAAAGCTGTGGCCCTAAGATACACTTTCCCTTTCTTAAAAGAATTTATAAGGGCCCAAAGTACTTCACTTTCAGAGCTCAAGCCTACTCACGACAGGCATGCACATTAAAAACCCCAATGGCAGCATATCAAGAGGGAATAAAATGAAAATTACACAAAATTAACCACTTTGTGACTATACCTTTACACTGAAGTCAGGAGGAGAGCAGATATCAAAATGTGTTTTACGGAACTCGAAGCGCCATCCATCTCCCATATATACTTTCATCTGAATGATGTCATTTAAATGAAAACCCGAGTAAAATATTAAAAAAAATAAAATTTACCAGGGCGTGTATGGTACATTGTATATAGGCAGGCCATCCACCATCCAATCTCAAACTGGGCAGAGATGATGAGCCATTACACCCCCAAAATTTGGGGCATGTTGTACAACAGTTTCATCTCTGCTGTCCACCTTGAGAATAGATAGTGGAGGGGCCTGCCTGTGCATTGTAAGTATAACATAGACAGTGTGTATGCTTCACTCTCTCTTCATTATCACATTAGCAAAGAATGACCTTCAAGGTTTTCTTCACTTGCTGCTCTTGACTGGTGTTAAAAACCTTATCTCCAGCACTATCATTCAAAAGAAAATCAGGTTTCTTCACATATCCACATCCTCCATTGGCTCTGAAAAATCCTTGCATCAACCATAGGGATCTCCCATATCCCTAAGAAGGCGCAAAAAGAAATATTCAGAAACGAGACACAGAATCACCTAGCATTTCAAAAATAGCCCAGAAAAGCATGTTTCCCTTCACTACCACCACATACCAGCCTAATATTGTAAAAGGAAACTAATGTTTCATGCTTATGGAAAATGAGGTTGTAAGAGGCATCTTAGATTCTCGAGATGCATCTTCCAACTCAATGACTTTTTTGGTACTTTGCAGAAAGTAATCCAGAGTTAAGTACCAACTAAAACCAGTGGAATTTGCATCTATAACTCTTAAGACAACCTAAAATTTCACTAGTAAGCCTTATTTTGCCACCATGTACACCTAGTGGGATAATCTGATCAGATTAACTCAAGCAAACAAACAATTAATGCTACCTACATTCTTTGGGTTATATAGATCACAATATATGTTTACATTTCAGTAATTATATGCGAACTACTAAATGTTTTTGCTATGGCATTGAAAAACCATAGCAAGCCATCTTCTATCTACTAAATGTTTTTCATAGGTTATAATTTGTTTACAAGTGCATTTTCATAGGTCATAATTTTGTTTACCAAAGTATTATCATAGAATTTCAAAAATAAAATTCAAATTCACTCAAAAGTGATTATGGGAGGTAATTTTTTATTTAAATAGGATAATGGACAAGCATTTCATTGAAGATCAATTTAATCTTTGGTACATCTTTTCAAATTAATTTTACATTCAAAACTATGAAAGCTAACTTCTGACCTGCATATTAAATGCAACCATCTGAGCTCCAAGGTTCCATCCAATTAAAGGGTTGAAGTTTGAGGAGTCAACTCGTAATCCCTTTGGGTATATTCTCAAAATATTCCTCTTGGTGAAACTGAGAAAAACCCAAGCATCAGAACACAAGTCCAAGCATTAAGATGCAAGAGACCTTAGATAATGGATTTACAAACAATACTTGAAGTTCCCCACCAATGCACAGTCTACTCCAAAGTTATACTGAAAGTTTGGCGTAATTTGGCCAGCCATCCCATAAAAACTTTGGAAAGTGCATTATAATCCAAAGGACTATGGAGAAACATATTCCATTGGGGATATCACATCCAATAAAATGATAAACATTGTTGGAGAGAGAGATTGGCATCAAGTACTTACCTCTCGCTCCTTTATCATCATTTCATTGGATGGTGATGAAGGTAGTGGGGCCATGGTTTTCCATGATACATTGGTTTATAGTACAATTTCCCAAAGAACTTTTCCCTATGGTCAGACAAAGCCCAGCAACTTTAGGAATGAGAATAATACCTGACAACAACAGCTGGGTGAGACTCAGCAATGTCCTCAAGCTGTGGTTCACTTAAACTGACACGTCTAGCATGTTTTTCTTCCAACTCTAAAGCATATTTCAGGTCTTCTTTTGGTTTCCCGGCCCTGATTGTTATTAGTTTTCCAAACTCAGGCACTGCATCTTCCCCCATCTTCTCTTGTACTATACCATCATCATCAACCCTAGCATCTTCATCCTCACTATTATAACTATCACTTGGAGGTGGGTGACTCGGTTCTAGTACATTCTGAGAGCACAGACATGACATTGTCAGTTAAAGAGGGACAATGTAGGGAAAACATATTACAATTGTATGACCAGAAAATCAGAAGATCATTGGGGCCATCATGTCCAATGATTTGAGGGATAATGATGAAAAGAGTGTGGGGCCACATTGAGGGGTCATGTCCTGTTTTGGTGGGCCCCATTCTCTCTCCATCACTGTCCATCATTTCATTGGATGGTGATAGCCCTGATGGACTATGATTGGTATATTTCATCATAGTCTAGTTCATTTTCCATGACTTTAAAGCAATAATAAATGAATTACATGTTGGTGCACCTCAGTATCAGTTTTATGTCCTGCTTTAATATTTGAAATCTCATTCCCCCATGCATCCTGCTTCTCATTCTGTCTTACTTTTGCTTGAATCTCTGTCTCTAAGTACTCTTTTGGTGGTTTAGTTGATAGTAATATGCGATTCATCAAGTCTTTAGGTGAAGGATATTCTTCTAGTTTACCCGACATAGGGTAAAACAACATGCGTCCAAAAATCCAGTAGACCATCTACAAGAAATATTCGGTGATGACAATGGAAGTTATAGAACAATTCAGAAAATACTGGGTTTTTGATAAATACTAGAAAAAGAGATCAAAGTTTAACCTGAGCTACTTTAGACCGAAGTTTTGGAGTAAGATGGTCTTCTAGGGTTATTATGACAGGATAATTAGATGCTGAAAAAGCATATTCCTTAATGGAAAACAAACATTTGGCGAGTCCTACTGGACGGGTCATTGTCCTGCACTTGCAAAGATGGTACACAATATTTGAATGGTATTGGAAACACAGATAAAGAAACATCAAGGAAGTTCACCACACAAATTCTGCCCAATAATCCATGCTAAACAGAATAGAGTAACATGTAGTCAAAGAGCATCACACCTATGGTGGAAAGTATACTGTCAAAAACTGGTACATTTTACATGGTAATAAAGGAGCATCAACTGTCGGTTCTCAAGAAAGACAGTAGAGATGCAACATAGCTCTGATGATGATATTCACCCAGAATTTTCATTTCCTTTGAAAGTGGACATGGATGCCACAACATAGTTCTGATGATGATATCCCATGTGTAACATATGCTCTTCCTCTATCTAAATTGTAGGTTCTTAAAGTGAGATTTCACAACAAGTTGAGTTTGGTTTCACATGACAAACCATAGTTTAAGGTGGGTGGATGGGTGGTGTGTGTGTGTGTGTGTGTGTGTGACAGAGAGAGAGAGGGTTTCTGTGTTTGATACCTTTTCATGTGACAACCATGACAGAATTTAGGCTATTGCTATTATGGTTGTTTCACAAGCATTACCTCCCAAATCTTAACTAAATACATGAAATGGCTTTAATTAAACTGAATTCTGGATATCGAGAGACTTTTGCGGTGAAGAAAGTTAGTGTCAATCTCCATTTACCATCACTGTAGAGAGTAGCCAATAGTAACAAAGGTTTCCTTTTATGAAGAGGTTGGGGTGAGGATGAAGTTAAGTGGGAAGGGGTAAAGCAAGAACCCTCTCAATTATGGACTCTATTACGTTCATTCTGATTGTTTTGTATCATTCTTCTATTCATTATTTTATTCTTATCCCCTCCGGTTATACCCCTTTGTATGAAGGTTCCATGTAACTTAAGATAACAACTTTAAGAAAATACTTTTATCGATCCAAGAAGAAAAGTATCCACCTCATGTCATAAATCGGAAAAATGAATGTCCATTACCATTTAATATGTACTTTCAAAAAATGCTTCTCAGGAATCTTGGTAATTGGAAGAAAATTTCTGATTTGGTAAGAAATATCGTTGAGACAGTTCCATTCAGTTAAATAGCAACACATGACAAATGCCTCTTTCCTTGAAAAATACTTGGCTAGTCTAGGACAGTAATAGTAAAGGCAAGCAATATTGCCTGCATACCCTCCATGTTTAACAATAACTTTGTCTTTTCTGCTGTGTGGCCAGAGATCCAATTCAATAACTCTGACGCCTCTTTTGAGAGCTTTTATAATTGGTATCTCACTGCTGTTACTGTTCAGCTGATTTCCTTTCAAATAAGAATTGTGACCGGTATAGATATAATAGTGTGACAGTGGAGCAGACATGTCCTGATGAACCTGGCAAGTTAAGAAAAGTCCCAAGTAGCAAGTGTTATAAATATAGAGCTTTTCATATTGAAACTAGAAATCTATTTTAGATGCAATTAATGAAAACAAATACAACAGCATTATGTCAAATTTGAATCGAAGGGCACAAACAAAAAATTTAACCCCCAAACCATCAAATATGAGTAGTCTGGCTGCGTTGCAGAAGAAGCTTTTGCCGTGAGTCATATGACTCCTACTCGATTTACATTAATTGGATGGCAGTAATGTTTCCGACGTGACAAAGTGAAGCATAGAGAATCCAGAAACACAAGTACAAGTGGGCTCACATTTTTGGAATTTCCTAAGGCACACATCAATATGTACGTTCACTCGTCCTTATGGACGATATCACCGTAAGGGAATGATTCTACCTAACTGGCAAAAAAGTAAAAGGGAATGATTCTTTCTAACATATCTTTTATGAATAGAGGTACAAGATTTCATGAACTAATTGCTAGGCCAATGCAACTCCACTTGGTAGATGTGGTCAGCTATGTTTGGAACCTTTTACATTGAGAAGATTAAGCCTTCCCTTGTTTTGTAGATTGGGGGAGCAAAAGCTACAAGTGGATAGGACTATCCTATGCTGATCTGCTTGGCAAACTATCATCTAGAATCTTTGAAAATTGAGGAAATAAAAATGTCATTTGAGGTCAACACAAGAAAAAAATTGTCATGATTGAATATTATTTGAGGATTTTATATCATGGTCTCAACCAAAACTTGAAATGCAAGCCATGTCTTGCAGAGAAATTTGCACGGATCAGAAGTCATTGATGAGAAGTCATAGTAACTTCACAGTTGGGTGGAATGGACCTTTCTCCATAAGACCTTTCTCAATTTGTATGCATTGTTTGGCGCTGAAGGGAATGCATCAAAGGAAGGTGCAAGGAATCTGATTGAGTCTCAAGGTTGAACAAACATTCTATTAAATAAGAATTAAAAGGAACCTTTCCCCTCATGTGAAGCATAGGATGAATTTTCTTAGACGGTGTTACACGAATCGACCGAGTCCACTCGGGCTCGGCCTTTGGCAGAGCGGAGGCCGAGTTGAGGCGAGTTCATGGCAACTCACCCAACCCTGTGTGAGTTAATTAGAATTTCGTTTTTAGATGATTTTGTAGTTTTTAAGATGATTTGGGAACTTTCAGATTTTTTTCCTTTTTAAATTTTTTCTAGAATATTCAAGGTCTAAATAAAAAAATGTCAATTATCCGTCTTTTATAGATTTTTTTCATCTTTTTACTCTTGTAATGCTTTCTATTACCTTTTTTATTTTTTCTTAATGTAAAATATTTCTTATTTTGTTTTACCATATTCAAAAAAAATTTCCATTTTAATGGGTAGTACGCGCGGACTCTGCCAAGTTACTCACCTCGGCCAAGGGCTGAGAACCACGGTGGAGGCGATTTCCAAAACATTGTTCTTTGAAATGTGAGACACTGTCAAGTTCTGTGTCGTGCATATTGCTCACGGACTGTGTAAATAAGAAGGGGTGGCAGATAGGGGTAACTAGGGATATAATCAGTTTTATGGATTTTTCCACCTTAGACACTGACTTCATTACTTTCATATTTCATTTTATTTACAGCATGTTTCACTCGGTAAGTGGTTTCATCATGGATCATAAAGCAATTAAAACAAGACCAAACCACGCAGTCATATATCTCGACAGGAGCTAAATTTATAAATGATTTAATTTAATTACTAATCAAGCTTTAAGCATTTCATTTCAAAAGACTTACATATCAATCTAAACAAAGACTAAGAGAATGATCATCTACATAAGGGATTCCAAACACAGGTGAGGTCATTCTACCCATCAAAAGATTGAAAAGAAAAATTCAAAAGGAAGAAAACAAATAGGAGATTCAATCTAAAATCGAGAAACACATACAAAGATATTTATGCATCAAGCAAATAAAGAACCAGCATAAGCTCTCATTTAAAACCGCAATGCCCGAGCTGATTCATCCCAAAACCTTGTGCCACAAAAAACAAGAACATCGTAGACTGATTAATCCAAACAAAATAGTACCTCTTGTCGGAGGGGAGAATTATCCCCAGCAGAGAGAAACTGAAAAAAGGTATCAAGAGTGAGGCCTTCTTGCTTGATTTTGTTCAAAATCCTGATCCCCCCGAGATGCCGAGTCACAAGGTCCTCCACTTTCGCAGTAGTCAAACCCTCTTCTTTCTGGACCTCAACAAGAAATTCCTGCAGTTGATCAATGCTCATAAAGCCATCATGGGAGTATCTATCAAAAAATTCCTCGACATCCGAAGGTGGGCCTGTAACAACAGACTTGAACCTCAATCTGAAAAAACAGCAGAACTTATAACTTGTCATATTGAATGCCATTAGAGTCGACGGATTTGCAGAGGAAGAGAGAGATAGAAACTGAGAAGCATAAACGATGAAGGATTTAACTTAATTCACTCAATCATATAGGCATCTCCAATGATGGGTGTTGAAGCCATTAAAAAAGACTGGGTGCTTTACTTGTGCACATGACAAAGTATATGCGGGTGATGCGTGCATAATCCACATTTCGTACACATTTTTATATATAGAGAGAGAAAGAGAGAGAGAGAGCTGCAAAACCAAGTTTTGACCTACTGAAACTTTTAGAGAGAGAAACAGGAGGACCAGGGACCTACGAGAACCAGGTCCTTCCCCTGTTGTTGGGGAACAATGGACCCCATTAACATCACACTATCAGAGAGAGAGAGAGAGAGAGAGGAAGGCGCTCACTGCGATGTTAGAGAGAAGGAAAGAAAGAGAAGAAAAAATCAAATAAAAAATGAGGGACAACGAGGCCCCAACGGCTATGATGACTGAAAATTTGAGATAAAAAGCAAAAGGAAAATTGTTTCCTGCGGGCTCGATCTCATCACTACACATGCGGTCCAAATGTGTAAAGCATCCATTTTAAAGATGGATGCAAATAGGAGCTCCATCTTAAATTAACGGAAACTAACGGTCCAAGTATTTTTTTACTTAAATTATTTTTTCTAATTTTTAGAATTTACTTATTTTTCCTATATTAGAGATCACAGTAACTTAAAAATCCATCCACATTTCTATATATGCAGGCTTTGCCGCGTAGAAACGGGGTCCACAGCAAAAAGCATGGTGGTAGGACGTAGGAGTGGGACACTATTACAACTTGTATTTCTATATATGCTCCCTCGGGTAAAAGATCTATTTATTGGAGATTTTCTCATAATTTAATATTTTTAAAAGGATGAAGTTTCCATTAGGCTGAGGATTTATAAAAACAAAATAAAGCCGCACCTTAAATCCTCGTCCGAAAAGCACTTCCGGCAACACGAATCACCACTATGGTTTCTAAACTCAATTTTGAACATTGATAGTAAAATTTGAAACTCAAAAAATCTATATATCTTGTGGATCTATAAACAATTATTTATAGGGTGAAATACAAAAGTGGAAATACAATATGAGAATTTATTTCTTTGAAATTAGATTTTGAGTTCTTAAATGTCTAGATCTAATTGTTCTAAAAATGGACTAACTCTTGTGATATTAGGGTATTAGTTTTCTCGAGCTTGGATAAGGTAATTGTTTTTTTTTTATAATATGGGCAAGCTTTCTATGCTCCCCCTACAACATAAAACTTATATACTTCCCTTTATCCAACTATCCATTCTGAATGGATGGCTAAGATTGTGCCAATCACAATGTCACGTCTCAATACTTCTTATAAACTATTTTGACATCAAATTTTGTATGTCTAATCCTTTATTAAACTCGCACTAGCGAAAAAATATAAAAAACAAATTTTCAATAAAATAAAATGACCTAAATACCTCTGAAAGTTTCAAGGGGTATTTGGTCATTATATTTTATCAAAAAATTATTTTTAATATTTTTTATAGGTGTGCCCCAGTGAGAAGATGACACATACCAAATTTCATATTCATACAATTTGTATAAAAAAAAAACTAAAAATAAAATTCTTTGAGATGTCGGATCCACGATTAAACGGTGAGTGGCTCTCTGGATTAAAATTGGATGGTTGGATGGTAGGGAAAGCATAGATCTTCAATGTTGTAGGGAAGTATAAAAACCTTTCCCTTAGAATAAAGAGTTGTACGTGGATATCACAATCATTAGGTGTTAAATCGGATGGCTTGGGGTAGGAAAAATTGAAAAAACTCCCCCAATTTGTACTTTCTTAGCATTCACTCATGCTACACCAACAATTCCAATATGTAAGGTTGCAACATTAAAATGTAGAATTAAAGATGCACATTAAAAATCCATCGGAAAATACTGTTTTAATGTCAAAAAACCCTCTAATGGATCATCTCAACATCGAGATATATGAATATGAGGGGAAAAAAAAAAAGATTTTGGCCCTCATAAATAGTGCATCTTGCAACACATTATCTAGACAGTCAATTTTCAAGATTTTCATATATTTATAGATCTACTTGATTTTAACTATTTTTTGAAGTGTAAAACTTTATAACTAGAGATAAAATTAGATTTTGTAGATAATCCAAAGAATTTTTTACACCAAAATTACATGTTATGATAAAATTTGGATATGCGCCTTAATTGGATTGTTTAAGATTGTGACCTTGTAGAAACCATACTTTTTTTTTTTTATTTATTACTATGCCCAAGTCAAAAAGTTATTTTTTTTAAAACCAAAATACCCCACAATTATAATATGCACAATGTGACGCCCAACATTTATCGGTCTGTCACCAAAATGTGTCGAATTGCCAAACCGGCATAATGAACTGGATGGGTACAAAAAAAATGTGTTGGACCGGCTCTATGTTCACATTGTGTCGGTCTAGCATATTTTGTATCAGGCCAACTTAAAGAGAAAAATTGAGCAACATAACAAAAAACATATTTTGATAACAAAATGTCAACTTTTGTATTTGGGAGATGGTTGGTACGAAAAAACAAAAAAAATTATGGGACGAATAATGTGGTATTAAAAATACCGCTTGTAAATAATCTAACGAACAAATATAATGACCAACAAAGTAACAACATGCCATGCGGAGGATACCACCATCCTTCCATTAAGTGGACATCATGTTTGCTGTCATCATATTAATACTGTGTGGTTCATAAAACATGGAAATACCAAAGGGCCGGTGTAGTTCACTCTAATTGGAGTATAAATAAAGAATATATTGCCAAAATATTTCTTACTCTCATAATAGGAGTATACTATTTATTTACTCTGTGGGGCAAAATTTACATTGGGAATATTTTTTAGATCCCAAATTTTGGGTCGTCATCTTTAAAATCCATCAGTCAATCTCAAAGAAGGAAAAAAAATTGAACTCACTGTCTCTTAAGAAAAAGGCACCCCAAAATTATACTAGAACCATCCAATTTTTGGAGGGAATGATTTAGATGTTTAAGAATTCAAAATCAAACTTTTTTCTTTGAAAAATAATATAGTAATAATCAGATAGATCCTGAAATTTCAATTCAAAAAAAGTTTTTTAAATAAGTGAATCATCCAAAAACCAATTTAGAACGGTGAATTGATAATCCGGATCGCCGTTTTAATATAGAGAATCGTCGTTTTATCATAAAGAATCGATTTTTTTCTAGATTCAATCATTTTCCTATATATACATATAATCAAAACTGGGTGATTGATTCCACAGTCTAACTAGACGATTGCGTGCCGTCAAGTGTTTTTTAAATCACTAAATTAGACTTGGTAAGAAATCAACACGGTGTTGGTCGTGGTTGCTTTTTTTTTTTGGTTTATGGAGTTTTTAAGCTTATAAGAGCGCAAGCAACGAGACGGACTTTAAAGTGTCGCCCGCCTTGATAAGAGCACAAGAGGACCAAGACGCTCCTTGAAGAATTCAGATAAGAAAAACAAGATGTCAACCTTATACTGTACAAGTAAGGTTCATCTCAAAACTCATCAAAAAACTATTGTTTCATCATTAAAAACCTTTCAATTGATCATCTCCACTTCGATATGTATGAATATGAAAGGAAATTTGAATTTTAAGCATTAATAATAATCCATCTTGTAACATATTATCTAAACCGTCCACTATCAAGATATTTAAATATTTAATATTCATAGAGTCGCTAGATCTTCACTATGCTTAGAGCTTTCAACTTAGTAGTAGGGGTTACAAAACCACATTTTAGGGTGATCATAAGAGTTTTGGAAGCTAAAATACGTCGTTAAAGAGATTTTAAGGTGCACCTTCCTGGGATTGTTTAAAGTGGACACCTTATACAAACCTTACCCTTAAAATAATTAATAAAATTTTGGATCCAAAATCTATCTCCAAGATGCATCCCTCCCTGGATACACCTAAACCCTAACTTATACTTATAATTTTTATAAGCTTTCGATTATCAAAATTTTAACAAAAATCATTGGAAAGCTGTACAGGTGTCCACGTCAACCTTTCTGGGTCGGGCCTGTGAGTTTGAGCTAACTATTGAAAAGATTGAATCACATTTTTACAAAAAAACTTGATTATGATTTTTGAAGTAAATCCAATGATTTAGTTTTAATAAATCCACTTTTGATCTTCTTATCAGAATCTAAAATGCCAGCATAATGTATATCTTTAACGTAGTTAAATAACTTGTCTTCTGTACTACCATGGAGGAATAAATGAGAGTAAATTTTGAATTCCTAACTTTTCTAAAATATCTCTTTAAGAGAAAGAAAAAGTTTACATAAGTGCGAGGCTCTAAACAATCAAATTCAGGTGCACCTCAAAAATTCATTAAAAAATATTGTTTCGATGCTGAAAAACTCTCTATCCGATCATCTGAACCTCAAGATGTATGGACATGAGATAAAAAAGTTCTCAAGTATTGAAAATAGTACGTCTTGTGATGTACTATCTAGGCTGTCAATTTTCAAGATTTTCAGGTGTTCATAGATTTGTTCGAACTACACTATTTTTGAACTTTAAATTTTATTATTAGAAAAATTTTCAAGCCATTATAATGATTTTTAATATTAAAACAATATCTTTTAGCACCATTGAAAGGTACACCCTATTTTGATTGTTTAGTGCCTCCGCCTTATACAAACCACACCCTTACGAGAATGGGTAAATTTACAATTCCTGCATTTCCTCTCCATTTCCAATCTCTATCTCTAAGCATATCTAATAAATATAAGGTAGGATTTAGTGAGTTTGGAGACAATGAAAATCTTATGTATTTATTATCTTGACCACCATTCTCATGAATATGAAAAATTAAAATAAAATAAAATTTGAACCTCAAAGTCTATTTTGTAATTATTTTGGACGATTCATTCTACTTCTTCTAAGATAATCTGATTTACAATGTTTTTGGATTTCCAAATTCATGGATCTAAGATGGAAATAGATTTGCACTAATTTGGAGTGTGTTTCGTGTCCTAAAACCGTTGAAAACCATGAATCGGGCTTGGGTCAAGACGATAGAGGTTTGGTTTTCATAACGCAACATCTCAAATTCCATTCCTATGTAACCTTGCAAAAAAAAACCGTTAGAAAACCAAAGAATATGAGTTGAATAATACATCAAGTACTTTTCCATAAATTTATCCCCACTCTAACCGACTCCTGGACTCTGGATAGTAGGATTCCCACTCTTTCTTATCAATTAATTTTAGAAGAAAGAGTATCCATAATTTAAAATCTGAAATGTTTTGTCGTAAATATTGTACCGGGGAACCTTTTTGAAATAGTTGAAAAATCAAACTATTTTAGTGGTTAAAAATAATGAAAATATTGATTAAAATTGTAATA